TGCAACACAGATATGTGAAAGCCTCTCAGACTTGGGAGGAACTGGTAAAGAACTGTCAGGGGAAAAGAGGTCATGAAAGAGTCAACCAGGAATATCATCTAGAGGACAGCTTCGTGAAGGGGCAGAGTTTGCGTGTTAAAACCTCCATCCTTTTTCTGGGTTGGAGAGGCTGGGCACATCCTCTGTTCTTTACAGATAGCCCGTGAGAAGGTCTCAGTCCTCCATCACTTCCATGCCCCACACACAGCCAAGAGTTCCTGCATGTAAAATTCCTGCGTAGGTTATGGGAACCAGGAGCGGGACTGAGTCCACTGTTAGCTGAAGTATTGCAGTGTCTTGGTGGGGTGGTCAACCACGGAGCCACTGTAGGATACAACTTCTTAGAAAGGCAGCAGGGCTGTGGGAAGGAAAGCAACTTCCCAAGGCTAAAAAGAGGTGGGGCTCCTGGGCAGGAAAGGGTGAGGAGGATGAATGGTGGCCATGGGAAGGTATCGCCTGGAGGTTGGAGTGACCCAAGAGGATGAGGTCCAGGGAGCCTGCCACAGAGAAATATTCTTTGGGAAGACAACACCAGAGGCCAACAGTGAACTACAGTTTTGATGCCAAACTCTACCGTCTAGTCTGCTCAAAGAACTAATCCAAAACTTTTTTTTTTCTGTACTTCTTTTGCTGGTAGGATCTTTCCACAAACAGAAGGTGAAAAACACCAAAGCAAAGACATTTGATGCAGTTGGGTGGAGAAATATAAACACTTCTTTATTTCCAGTCCACCACTCTCATTGTTTCACATACTAGTATGTGAACAGTTTGCAAATGCCATGACTACTACTGCCTGACCCATGAATCTGCCCAGCCTTCTGTACTGGAATTCTGTGTGTGAATAAGACATTGCTGGTCTGATTTTGCTTAGTCTTGAATGAGAGTGGGAGATAACACTGACACTTGTGCTACCTGGAGCTGGAAAATCTTAACTGACATTAACTAGGAGGTGTTTGATAACTGATAAGAGGCCTGGTTACACTAATTGAGTTTGGAGGTTTCATGAAAAGTTGTATACAAATCTATTCAGAAAACCATGTCAGTTCAAGCAACTAGATGAGATTGATAATTACAGGTACGTAGCTTTAGACTGAAGCCATTCTGTACTAACATTCAGGTTCAGATTAAAACCAGGACTGCCTTTATTTTGGAGCTATATTTTCCTTAGAGAAAGAGGACCATCTAGTGGTTAACACAGAAATTATCTTCTTGCTTTCAATCATTATTGAGCAAGGAATGAACCCCAACACATTTCAAACGAAAGCATGTCTATCTTGAAATCTGACCAGGTACTGAAGCTAAACGAAACTGCATATAACCTAGATTCTGACAAGTTAGATTGGCTATCAGGAATTTAGCACCAGCACAATTCCCGGTTTGCCCAGTTCTCCCAGTTAGCAGAACAACTTGTTAGCAACTGGGCAGCTCCAGCATAGGCTACAGCTCGGGACATGAGCCAGTCTCCCCAAGCCCTTCCTCAGCACACTGTGGAGACTTTGCCAGAGTTAGAGCTCTGGAAAAATACGAGTCAGGCTTGGCATGGTTACAGCCACCTTCAAAACTCTTCTGCTGACAGTACAGCTAGAGGGAGAATTTCTTCTGACACTTTCGCTATTCTTCCTCCCTGCTAGAAAGCTTTCTGCACAGTGGTTCAGGGTGTGTAGCTGCCAAATGCAGCTGGATATTGTCAGTAGAGTCATGTAGCGGGAGCAGGGAAGATTACAGTTCAAGAAAAACAATATCAAGGATGGAACAAGCAACCACCTCTTTGACATTCCTTTCAGGATGACGACATTAGTCTGGAAAGGCACGCTTCTGGCACTGGAGTGGAGCAGAATTTGTGTGTAGACTAGCTGCATTGCTGGAATACAGGACAGAAATTAGTGCTGCTATGTGCATTTGAACATTTCATGCACAATCATTTTGTCAGGCAACTTAAACCACTCTTTGAACACCGCATGCTTCAGGCAGCAACTGTCTGGGTTTCCAGGCTGTTGTAGAGGACAGGTCAGCATGCAAGCCTGACATTTTCTGGTAAGGCAGACTACAGGACCAGGCATAAGGGGTCTGCCTACAGGAGCAACCCTTAATTAAAATAAATTTTGGCTTTGTAAAAGCTCCTAACGCATAAAAGTTAAAATATTAAGGTGCTGCACATTAGAACAGTTTCTGCAGGAAATTAAAATTGAAGTATTTCATGCCAGTTATTACAAAGGGGATTGAAGGCAGCTGAAGGTAATGGCAGCCTTCTGCATGCACACATGCAAAGACAGATGTCATACAGAGTCCTAAATTAAAGCAGAGCTTTAGCCCCTACCATGTAGGTGACTTGCTTTTTTTCCTGATGCAAGGCTTTCTCGTGGCATTCCCAGCCCATGTTTCCAATGCAGCACTTCTCTGGAAGAACAACATTTCTCCCACCAGTCTGGGTTACTCATTGCTCCTAAAGGGCAGCAGAAGTACTTCTGAGGGTACCTGGTGAAGGTGTGGTTCTGCACTATGTGACAATTTATACAAAAGTGTACTTTATGGCTTCAGTGTATCATATTTTTCATCTGCATGCCCATGAATCCCTGATTTTAATCCCTGAAGTTTACCTGGTCATAAATAACCTCTAATGATTCACATACAGCTTGACAGATGAACTGAAATACAGTGAAAGGCAAGCAAGGGGATTTCTAATTGCTATTCATAACCAGGTCTTGCAATAATTACACTTGAATAGCTTAGAGCCATGATCAAGATAATTAGAGATTATGTTCCTCTTTCCTGGCACAATAGTTGCCAAGTTATGCATTAGTCATGGAAAGGCAAGAGTCTCATTCCCAATCCATTGCTTAAACCCTGATTTCTAATAGATATTAGCAAATGAGATTAACTCCAGCCTTGGCTCTAGGACAATTAGCTGTAATCTGAAATTTAACAGGCTAAACAACACCACCTCTTGCTTCCACTTAGGTTTTTAATCTATTTTAAATGCTTCTACATTTTTTGTTTGCTGCTGTGCCATGTCTGGTGGGCCCACCTTTCTGCAGTCTGGTGTGGCTGGAAGCCCTCGCAACCAGGGCTTTCACAGGTCTATTGTCATGAGTGGCTGCTCAAGAGCAATGGGAAGGACTCAGTCAGGACAAAGGACCTCAGGACAGCTGTCAAGGGGCAAAAGCAGGAGAAGCACATCTCCAGCAGGATGCCACCTGTCTCCACCCACAGTGACCAAAGTTTGGTGCAAGGCACTGGCACAGACTATATTTGTGTCAGACCTAAGTGATGGACGTGACACAGAGACCTGCAGCTCTCTCTGAGGAGGACAGCGGAGGGAGAGTGCTTTTGCTTTGGCACAGCCCCAGAAAAACCCCATGCCAACACAAGTGGCCATTGCAGCAGGCTGCCAAGGGAACAATAAGCGTGCTGGCCACCGCCTTTGTTTTAATGGCTGCCCAGTGCATGCCAAGCTGTGCAGTTACAGCTTGTTTCCACTCCCTCTGCAGTTGTCAAGGTTTGCACTTAAGAGCTGTTCATTGTGGTTTTGTTTTAAGGACAACAAAGGCACATCTTCTTGGCTTATAAAGGACCTTTGTTGTTTCCCAGACACCAAACCTCATTTGTCTGTAAACTACAATGAATCTCACAGATGCCCAGTGAGGGTAGGGGGCCAACGAATCCCACCGATACCCAATGACAGACCCAGGTTAAGCCTGCAGTGAGAACTAGAAGTACAGAACTATTTTAAATGCATGAGGACTCAAAGTAAGCACAAGAACTGCCACAGGTTTCACCTAAACCTGCAGACTCGGACTCGGATTTTGTGTCTGAGGACCCACTGTCCTCTCATCCATGGCCTGGCCTTTCCCCAGCCTTTGTCCTCCTCAGTTGTCCCAGCACAACTGTTGCAGGATTATGCGAATGGATCCAAAGTTTTAACCTTTGAGTTAGTTTTTTAACCAGTCAGTTTGCTGACCTGGCTCATCATAATGCCCTACAGACAGCAGTACTGGACCAGTCAAGGTAACAAAAACCAGTGGCTGGGGAAAAAAAATTATGACATGCCTGTTTTGCTGTAGAGAAAAAATTTCATGGGATGATGATGGGAGAGCAAAAAGATACAGCAAAATTTTTCACAGAGATGTAGAGTTTGCAAAATGCATCAAAAATTTCCCATATTAAGTTTTCTCTGAAAGAGGTGCTGAAGACATCCCAAGGACATGTCCCTGGGGTGCATGTCCTGTACTTGCTCAACCTGCCCAGAAGGTCTCTCTGTGTCTAGCTCTTCATCCTTAATTCACAGACATTGTCCAAATCATGGCATGCCTCTGTAACTGAAGCAGGCGCCTCAACCTCTGTGATTAGCATCTCCCCATCCTCCCATTACCATCCCAATAGTGCCTTTTGCAGCAGCTTGGGAAAGAGAGAACCCTTCTCTACTGCCCATGCTGCAGTGAAAGGCTTCATCAGCAATGGCAGCAAAGGGTAAGCAGAGGTTTTGTACCACGGCAAATGGCCTTGCTTTGCCCAGGGGAAAAAGGAAAGCTTCACTGCAAAGTGACAGGACCAGAAACTTTCTTAGACCAGCGCACACTGACATTCATAAAGCAACTTCAGTGCTGATCCAGGCCTTGGATCACAGAAGAAAAATAGCCCTTTGATTTAAGAGGACTGAAGCTTAGTATAAAAGCCAAAAAAAAAAAAAAAAAAAAAAAAAAAAAAAAAAAAAAAAAAAAAAAAAAAGGAGAAATATCTGTTCTAGCAGTTGTGCCAATGCAACTAGGTTATTGTGCATCTGCAACGCCATTAATCACTTCCCAAGGACTGGAAAGCTTTGTAACACAAGCTCATCCTTTTAAAGGCAAACCTTTACCATTGCAGCCCCGCCACCACTTATGTCCTCCCTGCACAAAAATGTTTATCGGCCAGTCAGCAGGCAGCTGGGGAACAGGGAGTCCTGTGGGGCCTCGTGGCCGGTGATGGCGGCACCCCGGCATGTGGGGAACACGGCCCAGCAGCACCCACCCAAAAGGGAGGGTGAGCCGGCAAAGCAGAGATCACGGGCAGTTTGCGGGGGGCTAACTGGCTTCCCGAGTGTATTTCTGTGTGTTAAGCAGCATTTTGTCCAACGAGGTAGGCCTGAGGGTTTTTCTGACATGTTTGAGCAGGGAAGGGGGAAGCACTCTCTGTTTCAGATCAGCTTGAAGCATCAGCCCAGCAGCGAGCCTGGAAACACAGAGGGAGCCCAGGGCACGGCACCACCCAAGCCACAGGCACAGGAGCGTGGAGGGGACCTCCACGGGGGTCACCCCGCGGAGTCTGCGCCGCCCCCGAGGGCGGG